TAGCAGCAACGTGGAGCTGCAGACCAGGACCCTGGACAAGTCCGAGAGGACTTGGAAAGCGTAGAGGAGCCCCCAGGCGAAAGGGTGGAGCTGATTGGGGCAGATACCAAACCGGCAGAAATCGACCACCATCCGAGGGAGGCTGCTTCGGAAGCCGTAGAGGAAGTAGTCATCGTGCAGCACCGCGGAGGACGATACCGGTCCTATTCACCAGGGAAAATGGCGTTGAGCCCGGAGGAGTAAGGGAGGTTGGCCAAGAGAACTCTCTCCAGAGAGTCCGGCGTACAAGTAGAAGGAGGGAGATCTGTAGGGTTGGACGCCGAAGGCACCCCTGCGATTTTCTCGGCCTCACCCTCACTGCAAGGAAAGTCTGTGGGAACCGGCTCTGAAGACATTCCGGCAGTGTCTTGCACCTCGCCGTCGGCCCAAGAACGACAGACGCACCACGCGCCGGATGACGAACTAAAGGCAGACATCTTAGTTGAACGGGGAGAAAGGTGTGTGTTAGAAAAGAGAAGAAGCAGTTCGAAGAAGGATGATTCTAAGATTTGCTCCCAAAATGGAATAAATCTGTGGAACTGCGAGTTTCCTAATTTTATAGAGGTAGAAGAAACCGAAGAGGCACGCGAGAGGAATCGCGTTGGTCGGGGAAAGCCAAAAGTCAGTGAGGAAATAATTATCAGTCTCTCAAGCTGTGCATGGGAAGTAACGTGCATTTAATGCAAAGAGAGAGAAAAGAAGCCATCTGTAGCAAAAAAGACGATCGGCGGTCCTCGAGGGAGTGGTGCACGCTGTGTGACGTGACGCGCTGCGGTTCAAACCACCAGAGGCTCGCCACGTGGATGGCACTCACAAGGCCCCGAAGATTTGCGCAGGATCGTTCGAAAGAGAACCACCGATCTAACCGAATGTCTTCTGAAGATCAATTGACAAACGATCGCGGCGGTGTGAACTTCGTACCCCTACATGATAACCGCAAGCATGCTGCCCGAGAGAAGCTATCTCCGGGATGAGGCATGGCCACGACCGTGGGTCAAACGTGACCGTCCAGACCGCGCGGGCCCCGCGACGAGTTTTACGGTACCCATGACCGTGGCTGAAATGCGACCGTCCCCAGCAAGGCACTGACTGCTAAGGACTTCCTAGCTTGCATACCTGATTTCTTGATTTCTTGCGTGCCTGATTGCTTGATTTCTTGCATACCTGATTGCTTGATTTCTTGCTTGTCTGATTGCTTGATTTGTTGCTTATCTGATTGCTTGATTTTTTGTCTGCGTGATTGCTTGATTTCTTGCGTGCCTGATTGCTTGATTTCTTACTTGCCTGATTGCTTGATTTCTTGCTTGCTTGATTTCTTGTTTGCTCGATCACTCGATTTCCCGCTCGCGCGTCACCCGAACATCTTCTCCTCGATATTATCTTTAATCTACCTTGAATTCCCTTTCTTGGCGTGCTCTCCCGCGGACTCGCCCGTCCTCCGGGACATCTTTCCTCAAGAAATTCAAGACTCCGGTCTAACAAACCCCCGTGGCTTGCTTCATGCCAGATCCCTCTGTGGACCGCGCACACCCTGAGTATGCTCCCCCGTGGACTTGCTTGCCCCCGGGACAGGACCCCCTCGGGATCCTAGGGCTCAGGCCTCTCAGACCTCCGGGTCTTTCCCGCCAGTCCCCACCAAAGGGCCGAGTGGCAAACCAGTGTGCTCCTCACCAGGACACGCTTGCCACTCAGGCACAACAGGAATTGAGGTCGCCGACTCGCAGGCTTTCTCTTCCTGATATATTCCCGACCTCTTCCCCTCCGAGATACGTCACAAGCACGTTCTCCAAAACTCACCAACTTCCGCGTAAGCACAACGCGAAGACTGTCCAGGCAGTAAGGGATTCGAGGTAACGCCCTCGGAAAACACCCTACTCCACACCAGCTGCACACGAGTAGCGACTCCCCCTGCGTTAGCGCCCCGCGACGGAGGGAACATCTATTCATCTGTTCAATGGTGCCACGTCTGGTCCTTGGGCCGGTGTCTTAGCCCGTGTCGTTGACTTGTGCCGATTCCCACGATCACACAAGGCTATAGCCTCGCTCATGATCCCGATGAGTAGGCGTAAGACGGTTTCTCGTCTAATGCCTCATGAAGTGAGGAGTAAATTCCCTCCGGAGAGATAGTCACCAGTGAGCAAAGCTATCAGTTCCCCCTGGGAACGCCTATCCCCCTACCATGAGTAAGCGTCGCACTTCTCCGGATGCACGCCCCAGTCAGGATAGGACTTTATTACTTTAAAACTCCCCAGGTGGAACGGCGTACTCCATGGGATGTGTAACGTAGACTGAGCAAGTCTCTCTACATGTACCTAGTCTGACTGTCCCATGGTCTGTTTCCTCTGGAAGCGTAATTCCTTCGATCAGTAACATACTCCTTCAGATACGAATAAGATCGAAGTTGACACCTAATAAGAGTTGCGCCACAGCTCGCTTCCGCAGAAGTAAAATTCCCTCGACCAATAACATGCTCCTCCGGGACAAGCGAATAAGGTCAGGGTTGAGTGTCTGTTTCGGACTACTCCTTCGGCTAAGGGTGCCTTTCGTCATGGAACACGCCGAGGCCGAAGTCGATACCCCATCCAACTTCTTCGGAAGTCCGGACCATCCAGCTAGAAACGCATTCCCTCGGGATGCGCGGCACGGCTCTGATGAGTCCCTACATCTCATGTTATGATTTAGAACCTAGCTTCGCCCAGACCAGAACCGTACCCCTCGCGATACGTGGAAAGGTCGCCGCGTTAAACCAGCTCATAAGCAGCATAAGGTATAGGGAACCGGATAACCACACTCATTTTGCAGGGATTTGACGAAGGTTCGACTCCCCGACTCATCCATGGATAAGCCGAGAAGTCGGGGGTAACTGTTGGGACCCATTTTGCCGGGTTGAAGAAGAACTCGCCACGTAGGCCTAGGCTATATCGACTGCTGACACACACCACGCTAGCTCGGCCGATCCACTCCCGCGTACTGTACCAGGACAGTTGGCGGGCTTCCCCTAACACGTCAGAATGATTACTACCACCTGCTTCCTAGTGCGCGGCTTGGAAGGGACAGGACGAGCGAATGGCGAGTATAAATGAGAGAAGAACCCTTCAACATAGGGGAGGCCCGCTTTCTGACGTCTAAGAGAACATTCCCGATCATGCAGCAGAGGGGAGGGGACGATTGTAGAGGCCCGCTTTAGGACAATATCGAATCCCATGGGAGAAATTGATTGGAAAAGATCATTAAAATACTCTACCGCCACCTTTTTCACCAACTTTCCCCTTCCACCCAAACACCATTTTATCATGTACACCTACAAGCCTGTTGATCGTTCTTCGTTGAGTTGTGGTCGCATGGTAGAATTTTGTATTAAGGTCTCCACATCTGTTCCACATATTCCAACTTTTTTGTTGCCAATATTGTTCCTCATCCCAGTATGCGGTTTTGAGTCTCTGTGTGATCTCATTTAGTTCCTTTAGGGTCCTAGTATCATCATTTTGAGCCTTCTCCAGAATTTTCTGGAGCTCCTCAATTTTTTCCCTTCCATAAGGTTTGTAATTGTGTTGTCATTTCGAAATTTCATAGCGACAAGTATTAATTTTGTCCACAATATTCTGTTCTGAGTCCAACTGTGGAGAATGTCAATCCCATGTTATAGCCTCTATTAAACCCTCTTGGCCAATCCATCTTTTGTCAAAACGAAATTGTGCGCGTCTCTTTGTTTTCTGCAAACTCATTGTGGCCACAATAGGTCGATGGTCGGATCAGAATGCTCAATATATAAGTATGAAAATAAGTCGTGCCAATCTCCTGTGGCCAATCCCCTGTTCAGTCTACATCTAATATTCTGGCCATTCCGTCTCCCTTTCGAGGATAACGTATTTTCCCTATTTTGAAAATCAATTAATCTGCAATCATTTATCATAATATTAAAACTGAGAAACGAAACTGCTGTCCTAAAGACCCGTCTTGTTTCTCGTGATTGCCCGTAAGTTCGTTAAAATCCCCTATTAAAAACCATGGTTCCATTCTTGTTGTGCTTATCCTAGTTAATCGTTCCCAGGCCTTATCCCGAAACTTCGAAACGAAAGTTATAAAAATAGTTTTTCCCTCAAACTGTGCCCTAATATCCATGAGTCTTTTATTAGAAAATAATAGATGAACATCATAAATTTTATTAAAAAATAAAGCAAGTCCTCCACTCGCACCACAAAGTTCAACCATAAACATCAAATCAAACCCAAAATAAAATTTAAATTGTTCCAAAATTTTAGAACATTGCTTTGTTTCAGAGAGAAAAAGAAAATCTGGCATAAACTTCCTCCATATCTCCCGAAGATAGCTTATTGTATATCGGGTATCCAAACCTTGGCAATTCCAACTCAACACACGCGTTAAATTAAACCTTGGTTATCCAGATCCTCGACGATACCATCATTCTTCCGTGAAGGTCCCGTTCCCCTCTCCCCATTTCGTTTCAAATCACGTGTCAACCCTTTCTTCTTCGGTGTAGCGCCATGGATCAGCTTTTTTGAACCACCACCTACAACAAAGGAACCCTTAAATAACCGCTTCTTGGCACCCGCTTTGGAGCTAGTTTCACTGCATTTTGTCCCTCGGCAAAATCCATTTCCGTAGCATCCTTTTCCGTCTTATCTTCCTTCGCACGATTTGTTCTCTTGGCTGTATATAATTCACCATTCTCCTCTTTTTCCGCGTCATCCTCTACAAACACTTCCTCCGTTTCTACGATAACCCCCGCCTCAAATTCTGTTTCCATAAGCTCTGGAAAAGGTTCCCCTTCCTCACAATCATAGACTGGCGTATCATCCAATTCATCTTCCATAGAATCCGCCATCACCACCCTATCAATCATATTACCCAAATCATCCATCCCAAGCACCACCTCCTCAAAATCAAGCTCTTTACGGACCTTCTTCGCTGAGTGTTATGAAAGGCTGTTCGGGCTAACTTTAGAACAGAGCTCCTTCGTTACTTCCACACCAGCAGTGGCATTGGTCTCCGCCCTGCAAGGCTCTCGGACCCCTGGAGATAGCACGTAATGATCCACCTTGACGATATCTCCTCTCTCTTGGCAACACAGGTCGTGATAACATTCTGGATCCTCCTATTCTCTCATCTCCCAACTTATCTCCATGTATCCGCTGCACGTCTCTATTCTTGGAGACCTTCCCTTTCCCTTTCAGGAAAACCCCGTTACTGTGCTTTGTCTCTTGCTCTGACACCTTAGAAGTCCCCGTACCATTTAGCGCCCCTCTATAGCTGACGCCACCTCCATCTTGTTTATCCTCTTTAACCCGGGTCTCATACGTGCGTTCTCTCTTCGGATACAACAACGGGCATCTGCTTGATTTGTGGGAGAGACTGTGACATTCTCTGCAGTAGTCGTGAAGTCTTTCATACCGGAGAATCACCACAGATTCAACACCCCCTGAAATTACACTGTTGTCTCAAAAACTAGCGGCTTGAAAGCATCAACCAACAATTGTACCCTTCCGCCATCTAAGTCGATCCCTTTTACTGCCCTAGTAGCCTCTCCAATGCTTTTGAAACTTGTTTCCACCCAGAAATGTAAAAAGATTCCCATTATTCTCACCCAAAATGTAAGAGATGATGGATGGGTTGGCTTTATCAATGGTTCCCACCGGATGAGTACTATCATCCAACCATTAAAGTGATATGGTTCCATCGCCAGCACGGCTTTGATGTCATTCTCCTCGTCAAAATCAAACTGGAATCTTCCCATTCCAAGATCCGCCCCTGAAACTCTGTCTTCGACCTTCCAGATCCGAAGGAGCATAAACAGAAGAGAGTTTATGTCTTGTAACATCGGGTTCATGCACCTTCCAACGAGGGTCCGTAAATAACTCCTCATCAGCTCCGAATTGTTGAACCTTGGGACTGTGATCTTGAGTCTCGGGGCTAGAGTAGCCTTCCCCTTGTTGCTTCCACCTCCTTTACCGATTAAACCTGATTGAGTCATCGTAAACCCCGAGAGAAAAGGAGAGTTAGAGCGTTGAAAAGTTTTAACCAAATAGTGATGTGTGATGAAATGCATTGTGTGTGCGCGACTGTTACTTATACAAGCCAAATACACCTCATTTCCCCAATTGCCATCCGTAACAAACGCCTGAATTTCCAATACCATACCACTAATGATCCCGTAATGACTGCCATCAAACTTAATCAGAATACGTATACCTTGCCAAAATTGACTCCCCTGTAGTCCCTTCAAATCCTGAATCATGTAAGTCCCGTGAACAAATTGACTCCATTCGGTAGAAACCACATTATGCCCCAAATTTTGCTATCGAGAGTCATTAAACTTCCGATATCTTCGGATGATTGCCATTGTGATTCCCTCTCTGCACCATTGTACCCAAATTATCAGCTTAGCATACAATCTTAAATTAATGTGGATCCAAAAAATATCAGAGAATAGACAAAGTTTTGATTCAAGAGAACTCTTGAGATGATAGTTAAACCGTAACCCGTGCTTAGTGAGATTTCCATCTTGTTTCCCCATATACGAGATTATAGAATCCCATATACACACTAAAACCAGGAAGAAGATCATACCCTTATTATTGAAATCATCTCTGATCCATACATTAATCTCCTGAATCTTGGGTACAATAAAAGTACTCGCTTGTCGCCTTAACTCCCAGAGGTTTTGTGGAGAAAAGCCGCGCCATCCATTGCCAAATAAAATAATCACAATCCCCAATTGTACCTCATGTTCTCCGGATCTTAAATTGATAAGCCAACCTTAGATTCTGCTCCATTTTTTTCCCCATTATAGGGGATCCCTTGCGTATTCCTCCGATGAGTGAAGAGAATATCCTGCAGCGAAGAAGACCAATTGGGTTTTGAAAGCTTCCGATACACCAAAAAGGACCAAATTAAGGAGATCATGTCCCCAATCCTTCCCGAAAACCATTGAACATCCCCAGAAACCCCATTAGAACCTTCAGATTTCTCCCAGTTGCAGTTCATACAAAATCCCTAGATTGCTTCCATTGTCGCCTCTTTTTTTATTTAATTCACTTTTCTGAGCTAATATATCTAATTCACTTTTCTGAGCTAATATATGGATATCTCTTATTAAAAGGCCCATCTCCTACACATTATTTGAAAACTAGAATTAGTAAAAATTACTGATATGTCACATTCACAATCAAAATTAATGTATTGTATTGATGATATGTAAATGTGATATATCAAATTTTCTAAAATAAACGAGATATTTTGATTGATTGAATTAAAATTAAAGAAACTTAAAATTAAACAAAGCTACACTATATTATAAATAATTTTAAAGTAACAAAAAAGATAATTATTATGATTAATTTTTTACATATTCATAATTAGATAAAGTATTAGTACGAAAATTTTACAATACATATACATATTTATATATTATAATTTCATATTAAAAGAAAAAATATATAATATTAGATTATACAATAAGATAGTAAATATTATATATATTAATAATGTTTAAAGTATGATATATTTTTATTTTGGAAAGTTATTAATTTATGAAAATTTATAATAATAACATCTAAAAGGTTTAAATTAGATACATTATTAAATAGTGGAATTTAAAATAATTTAAAGAATGAAAAGATTTAAAAATAATAAAATAATAATTAACTTTTATTGAAAATTTAAAAAGTAACATAACTTAAAATAATTTGTTTGTTCGAACTATAACTCATTATGGCAAATGAATAAAGTCTTTACTAATTATTACTATTTTATAGTATTAATATGACCATATATTTGTATATAATTTTAACACTTTTTATACTGCTGTTTTTAAAAATTTACATAGTTTTTATTACCATCTCATCTTCTCTTTTATCATATTTTACATATCGAGAATTTAAGATCATAAATAAAATAAAAATAATCGAATGAAAGAATAAATGATAATAAGATGAAACAAATATAAATAAGAAGCAAAAACAAACATAAATCTTTACAGTTTTAGTTTTTCGTAAAAATATTGCAGTTTGTTTGACAAAGTTATTTAAAAAATCTTAAAAAGACGCGTTATTTTTAATGAACACATGTGTATACCAAATTTTATAATACACACTTACTTTTATAAAAATATGATTTCACAAATTTCATAACAAATTCTTATCATAATTTTTATTCAAAAGGAAAATTACTAATGGATTATCTAATGTACTATATTTATCTTCATGGTAAAGTGAAATCTTATATTTTATTTTTTTAGAGTTTTTTTGTAATTTTTGGTTAATATTTAATTTAATTTTTAATTTGAAATTATATATCACAAAACGCAGAAAAATAATTTACCAAAAACAAAAATCGCTGAAAATAATAAATTTTGATTTGATACTAAACGATATAAATGATTTTCGTGATTGTTGATAAAAGCCGAAAACTATATTGTATAAAAACATAATGTTTGCGGAAAATATCAGAAAAACTAACCAACACCTAAATATTACAATTTATTTATTTCTAGCTCATACTTACATGCATATATATACATATTTATTTCTTTTATAAAATTCAATCATAACATATTATAAATATATATATATATATATATTACAAAATATATGCATTGCTATTTTCTTTTAACACATGAAATCCATACTCGTTTTTTCCACAAATGTGCGTATGAATATAAATATTAATTATGCAAAAGTCAAAGTCCCATACGAACTTGTCGTCCATGAAATTTGTTAACCTCGATTACAGTGCAACCATCTATCCGCTCTTAGGATAAGTAAATATGGTAAAACTCAATCTGGTTTAATTAACAATAGATCAAAAGATATATATATTATGTATGAATAGAGTATCATCAATATACAATATTAATCATATATTAAACATATAAATTATTTTATAGTCTGCACACGGTGCGGGCCGATCACCTAGTTTTTGTTTAAAAATATCTTATTTTTCTGTTTTTAATTCAAGATTTTATCAAAATATTATATAGAAAATGCCAAAAAGTTAAAAAAATAATATTTTTAAGATCTAAATTTCATTTTGTCCCCATGAATCTAAAATACGTTAGGTCGGATCTGTATGTCAATATATATTATGTTTGTTTTTATGCGATTGAACTTCCTCAACTACTTTGTATATCCTAATCGATTTCTTTCTGTTACAGAGAAGAAAATAAAATGGAAAAAAAAATAGAGAAGAAAATCAATAAAAATAAGAAAAGAGAAACAAAGTAGAAGAATAATGTAGAAAAAAATCTTAAAAGAAAAATGGAAAAAAAGAAGAAGAAGATGAAGAAGAGAAAAAGAAGAAGAACAATAATAAATCTATTATATTAAAAGAGAATTCTAATCTATTTTTCATTAAATAATTAAAGGCTTAATGTTTTGTTACTCTTCTCATTAAGTCCCAATGTTTTGTTTTCGTTCTTATTAAAAAGTCTATTTTTGTTTAAAAATTAAAACTATCTTAATTTTTTGTTTTTAATTCAAAATTTATCAAAACATTATATAGAAATGCCAAAAAATAATAATAATAATTTTAGCATCTAAATTTCATTTTGTCCAAACAACCTAAAATATGTTTGGTAGGGGCTGTATGTCAATATCTATTTTGTTTCTTTTTATGCGATTGGACTTCCTTAACTATTGTTTATATACCCAGAAAATTAAATTCATATACTCTGATCGATTTCTTCCCGTTACAGAGAAAAAAATGAAAAAAAGAAAAGGAAAAAAGAAAAAAAATAGAGAAGAAAATCAATAAAAATAAGAAAAAAAGAAAAAATGGAGAAGAATAATGTAGAAAAAAATCTTAAAAGAAAAATGGAGAAAAATAAGAAGAAGATAAAGAAGAAGAACAATAATAAAAACTTAGAAAAAGAAGCAGAACAACAAAAAAATAATAATAATAAAGAAGATAAAGACAAAAAAAAACATTAATATATTATCTTCTTATAAAAATTAAACACACTTTTATTATATATTTTTTTTTTACTAAAATACTTGAGTACGATTAACAAAAAATATATAATTAACCATTCAAACTTTAAACTCTAATAGTTAAAATCTAAAAATAATATTCAAACATAAATTTTAATTTTACAAATATATACTCAGCGCAAACGTAAACACATGCTTAATATGTAAGAATGTTGCTTAATATATAGAGTTGTATCAAACATGTGTTTACGTAAGAATGAATATATTTTGTAGAACCATAAAATAACATTTAAAATTTGTATTTACAAAATTAATATTTCTAAAATTAAATTTTTAAAAAATTACCTGCACACCGAAGCGTATGTTAGATCCTAGTTGGTATTTAAAGAGAAACTTTTTAGGGTTAGGCGGGGGGATTATTGATAGAATTGTAATGATTTTTAATATTTAGAAATTTAATTATTAATAGTAGATTGATTCTGATATTCTTACTAAAATACACATTTATTGGTATGAAGATTTTCAAATTCTATATAAAATCAACTATTATTCAAAAAATTTGGTTTTTAAAAATTTCGGACAAAAATATTAAAAATATAAAACTTAATACAAAACTTTCAAAATAGTATTTAGATTTTTTACATTCTTAAAATCATTATAATAAAATATTTTGACAGATTTTCAGAATATACATAACTCTCTCTACATTCTAACAAATTCCTTTACAATTTTAAAAATCTATCCACTTTTAAAATTAACACAATTCTTTATAAATCTTACTCCCACTAAACTGAGAAAATAAAGATAATTATCTAAAAAAAATTTTTAGATGATTAAAAATGAGAGATTCAATCATCTACACTATTAAAAGAGAATCATTTTTTTTAAATAACATTTATCTAACGTGTTATTTATCTTAATTACTATTAATAAATTAATACTAACAATATGATTAAACTTTGTAACATAATTATACATTACTAACTAATAAACATACACTGCCCGTCATTATAGTTTTGTTATAACAGATTAAAATCAATACCATTATAAACCATTTATTTCACCAGTTTGTACCTGCTTCGATCAAACACAAGAAACACAACATTAGTTTACAATCACACTATAATGGATTCCTACTTCTATAATATTATCTTGATTATTTTCCATAGTTTTATTACCGAAAACATACACTTAATGATCCTAATAAACTTGGTCTAATGTTTTAGAATGATGAATACCAAACCATATTCTATTGACCGAAAACATACACTAAATGATTCTAATTATCTTTTAAACATATACAACCATACGGTCCAAAACATTTTTATCAAAAAATCTTTGAATTTTTGAACATCCGCGCCATTCAAAATCTGTTTAAATTTTTAACTTCAAATCTGAAACCGCAACAACTACCTCCCCTAAATTTTTTTAACACAAACGCGCATTAACCGGTTTCTTACTAAGACATTATCTATTTTTTAAACCTTTTCAAATGTTTTCGATCTTTTAAACCTTTAACACGAAACTAAATCTGTTAAAAATATTGTCATCAAATCTTAACCCGCAAAAACTACCTCCTCTAAACATCTCAACTAGATATTTTATTTACAAGATATTACAATGAAACTAGAAACTGCCAACTAACTAAAAATCATCTACAATATAAACAATAGTGAGGATATTCCGTATATCCTGAAATTCCTAGCAATCTATCTTCAATATTCTATATTGTTAGTTGGATATACTATTTTCTCAAACTATTCTGTATTTATTTATGTATATTGGAGATCTTCCATATCTTTTTGAATTGTTAATAACTAAGCAAATTCGACTTAGTTGAATTCATTTCGCCTATAAATACTGCCTTCAGCTTAGCTATTGCACACATTCTCAAAAACAAAGCAACCTAAATCTCACGCTCTTCTTAGCAATAAATTGATTTTCCTCATTGGCTTTACTAACCTGTCCGACGTCAAGCTTTTCAAAACAGGCTGGAGAGTCTGTGTGAAAGTCCTTCGTAAAGC